AACCACGGTCAGACACCAACGAAGAAGATGATTAGTAGTTTTAGTGTTCAGCATGCATAAAGGACATCTATTAGCCAAATTCAGTTATTTCCTCATGAGATTGTCAAACGTAAGAATTCTTCCCTTTGTAGCTTCCCAAGCGTAAAAAGAAATTCTGGGTGGCGCAATAGAATTCCAGATAATTTTGTAGGGGAAATTGCCAAGAGATCTAGTTTGGCCATCCACAAGAAGTTTATAGAATGACTTGACAGAAAATGCACCATTTCTATTTGCTTTCCAGTAAAGACAATTTTCATTAGAATTAAGATTAATGGTAGCTAAAAGCTGGAGAAGACTTTCATATTCCTGCCAGTCCTGTAAATTTCTGGTTACCTCCACATTCCAATAATTATCCTCATACACATTCCTGATGAGTGAATTTTTGTTCTTGGCAATGACATAAATGTGAGGGAAACGATTCTGAAAAGATTCCATACTGCACCATCTATCGTTCTAAAAAACGGATAGCGTTTCCATTGCTTACTTTCCAGTTAGTACCATTAAGAATAGAATCTAAACTGCGGATTATATTTTTCCGCAAGTTTTTCCTAAAACAGACTTGTCCAAGTCAGTAAGATTAGGAGGGTTATTACCAAACCATTTATAGTCAACAACCTCTTTCCAGAGTTTGTTATGTTCACAAAAATACCTCCAGATCCATTTACTGTGAAGAGCTTTATTAAGAGTTACTATGGATTTCAGTCCCAATCCACCAGCAGCAACCAGTTTCTTCTCCTCATTCCAATTAACCAAATGAAATTTACAGCTATTATCATAATCACCCCAGAGAAAACGACATTGAATAGTTTCCAATTTTTTAGTCGTTTTCTTAGGAATGGTTAAAACCAATAAGTAATAGATGGAGAGATTGGAGAGGGTACTCTTGATAAGTGTTAGTTACTTTAGCCAATCTGTTTTGAAATAACTCAACAATGGGTTCCCAGCTTCTTGTATCTTTATGATTATTGCCCAAAGGGACTCCCAGATATTTAATGGGGAGTTGAGAGGATCTGCAGCCCATGACAGCAGCCAAATTAGGAGAAGTGTTGGCAGGTATATAATTCGAACTATGCATACCCAGATTAATAAGTTTGGATTTATCAAGGTTAATCTTTAAGCCCGATATTGCTTGAAAACATAATAAGATGCACCTCAAATGAAGTAAATTATCAATATTTGGTCTGCAGAAGAAGAGAGTATTGTCAGCGAAGAAAAGATGTGTAATTTCTATTTTTTTTATTTTGGTTCCCTATTTTGATGCCCTAGAACAGCCCCATATTACTAACCTTGTCAATAAGCTTGTTGAACGTTTCCATTACAATAATAAACAGAAGTGGAGATAATAGATCACCCTGTCTTAAACCCCTACGAGCCTTAAAGAATTCGAAGGGTCTGCCATTTATCAAAACAACAAAAGTTGGAGAAGTGATAAATATTTTTATCCAACTTCTCCATTTCCGACCAAAGCCCAAGTTATCAAGCATGTGGTCAATGTAATTTCAAGATGCATGATCAAAAGTTTTTTCCATATCCAGTTTACAAATCAAATCATTGTCTTTTTTTCTTATAACATCATCAACAACTTCGTTGGCGATAAGAATAACATCTGTGATTTATCTACCATGCACAAAAAACTGTTGATTTTGACTAATAATCCGGTTAAGAACTTTGGAAAGTCTGTTAGCAAGCATCTTGAAGAGAAGCTTGTAATGACTGCTAATTAAGCTGATCAGTCTAAAGTCCTTTAAATTTACAACATTTTTCTTTTTTGGGATTAGAACAATAAATGTTGAATTAATTGATCTAACAAAGGAAGTTGTTTTAAGAAAATCTTTGAAGAAACCCATAATATCACCTTTCACTATTTCCCAGAATTCTTGAAAAATTTTAATATTAAAACCATCCGAACCAGTGGATTTATCACCATCACAGTCTCTAAGACAATTCAAAATTTCTGATTCAGTAAATTCAGAAAAGAAAAATGACCGCATAAACTTGAAATTCTTTGGCACAAGAAGCAGAGAAATGACCGCTGGATCTTTCTTCTCTCTGGAGGATCATGTTAAAATCACCACCGATGATATCCTTATCACCCCACTTAACATGGCAATCGGTTAATTCTTTCCACAGAGTCTCTTTATCGGATTCCAAAGCTCTACAGTATACCGCCGAAAAAAACCATTCCACCCCATTGCTTAAGTTAATGAACTTACATGCAACTGTAGTGCTCCCAACCAGAGTTTCACAACAGTCAACAAGGCTTTTGTTCCACATCACAAGAATGCCACCCGCCTTCTTATGGATTTGTAAATAGGTTAAGGGACAAATAAGAACTTGAAACTCCCTCCCGAGGAATAGATAACTTCCGAACTGTCTGGAATAACCTGCCTTCGACATCTAAGGAAAAAAGAAAAAAACTTACAGTTTTAACACACAAACTATCTAGGAAATGCAGAAAATTGAATATACTAGAGACTATCTAGGACTTCATAAATCTACTTTTTTCTTGTCTCCGTGTGTAAATCTTTTATAAACCAAACCAAAATCTGTTGCTCTTACTGTTCTGCTCCATACATTTTCTTTTGTGTTTTCTTCTTGTTTTCACTCTTCAATAATATTCTTGCTTTCCACTCCACAAAAATTTCAGTCAGGCCTGTGTGCTGGAAATCTGCTCCGATTTGCTATTAATGATGGAGGTTTGAGTTTTGTAGACGGTAAGCTTGAGAGAGCTGATTTACATTATCTGGGCAAGTCAAATAGAGCACGTGCTTTTGCAGATAGTTACTCCAAGGTTGGTAGAAAATTCTGCACACATGCTATGTCTAGTAATTTCAGTTTTTGATTGATCTTAAATAATAATTATTTAAAATAAAGCCTCGTATTTTTGTAAGGAGTAAAATTTTACCCTTTGGTGGTGCGTGTATTTTTTATCAAAGCCTACTACCTGGATTTCATTAGCTAATTCTATTATATAATTTTGTGTCGTAAATAAGGATGGGACAGACTTCTTATGTGTGTTCATCCATTGCCATTAGTAGTTATTGCCAACATCCCCAAACTGATTTGGGACATAAAAGCAGATTTTCATCTCTTTGGATACTTAGATAGTTATACACTGTTTTATTTTCCTGTGTTGCTTTTATGATGTGGGACAGATTAGGATTATTTTTTCTGCTTAGAAATTTAGGATATATTTAAAAATTCAAAATATTGCATCTAAGAATTAGGAATAGGGGCTCTTGAGAGAATTGATTCTGACTTTGATAAACTCAAGAATAATTGGTTCCATACTCATAAGTTTTTGTTAAGAGGTCATCCACTGTATTCTAACAAGAATTTTGGGGACTTTATAAATATTTTGTGTGGGTTACACTTCTTTGGTGTTTTTGATTTTATGGATATACTTATGCTTTTTATTTCAAAAAAGAAAATAATTTGGGATAGAAGGTAAATTGTAGAGTTAATTGTATAACATAATAAAGGTATTGAGAGAATTTTCTATTTTTCTAAAAGGCCAGATTTTGAACATAAATATTTTATAATGCTTAAAGATAAATCCTAATATAACTATAATTACAGGATACTAATAAGAAATCTATAACTCAAAAGAATTTAGATCATAAATAAAGTCCTGATATCAATAAAGCTCTCATCTTATCCATACAATTGAAATAAATTATAAAAGAGTTAGAAATACAATTCCAAAATCTGTTTAGAGATTCTAGCTCATGGTCATTCTCCATATTAACTGTTGCTACTTCTGATTTTTTTAACAAACTGATAGTGGTAAGATATTATCAGTAGTATTGATCGAAAACTCAGACAAAAAATATAATGTTAATACCTGGAAACTCTTTGTAAACTACTAATAGTTGGGATTTATTGTGCAGATTGTATTTCAGTATGCAGTTCGGCATTCGCCTTTGAAAATTGATGATATGCTGGCATCTATTAGCTCACAAGGTGATGGGGAAAACAAATCGACTGATGTGGAGATGGTTGGCTAATAGTAACTATCAGAAATTATGATTTTTGCTTTTGTTCTGAGTTCATGGCAGAAAAATTCACTTACAATGTTTGGCTAAATTCTTATAT